AGGTCACTGAACTCATTTCGATGTTGCCTACAAAATTGCATAATAAAAACGAAGACAAACCAATGCAGAAAGATATCGATGACCTTAGAATCACCTTCAAGATGACATTACACATTTTTATCATCGTCAGATGCTCGTCCACAAATCATGTAAACTGTTAGTCATTTTTTCATTTTTAGTCACTTTTAGTAGCAGGAGAAATAAGTTGGATATTCATTACAAGCTGTTCACCCTCTATACATACATATACGGAATGCACCACCTAACTCGCTTGCCTTGAATAACTTCTAAATTACGCATTGTTTGAAAAATTGTTGCATACGAAAGTTGCATAGTTTCGAGGGGAACGTTGTATTTTGTATCGATGTACTTTTTCTATAAATGGAGGCGTGTCAGAGTTTAATTCCCTTGCTTAAACGAAATATTTTATTTTTTATCTTAAAATTCGAAAGAATCTGGAATTTTGTAAAAAAGAATGTATTAACTACTTATAATCTAATAGTCAACGAGATATCTCGTTTCATAAAAATTGTTTTTATTTAGCAATAAATTGGTGATTCAGGAACATGAACGATTTTAATAATACAAAAAGGATTATTGAATTGTGAAAGTTGAGAAGAGGATAGGAACATATTAACCGATTGCAATAAGATAGCTCTATGTGCATCGAAAAAGACTAAACAAAGTAATCATTAGCTAAATGAACACCATTTTTGTATGGAAATACTTAGTGATACTGAATCACCAACCTTATGCTGCACGAAACAAATTTTCGAGAAAAGAAACAGAATATTTCGTTAATTATCAGGCTGTAAGACCAATAAACGTTAATACACTCAGAATTCAAGGCTTTTTCGAATTTCAACATAAAAAATGAAACGTTTCGTTTAAGAACATTTAATTAATCCTTAGCCCCTTAAAACTATGCGACTTTCATGCACAATAATTTTTCAAAAGACACAATTTAGTAGTATTCAGGGTGCGACTTTGATATTATGCTCCGTATTCTACATACAGGGTGAATTACATAACTTGTCCACCTTCAATAATTTTTAAAGTATGTGTTCTACAAAAAAAATGTTTTTTATAGAAATTGTACGGTATCAAAGGGAACATATGATGCTGAAACAATATTTTTAAATAACGTATTTGTTCACGAGATATCAAAGTGTCCTCGAATTTTTTTGAATGGAATGCGCATCAGAATTTAAAAGAGCAGTGAATTTTCTTCTAAGAAAATTATAAAATATAAAAAGAATAAAGTTGAGGTGGGTGAGGAACGTCGTTACACTGTTTTCACCTCAATTTATTAAGATATAAGTGTTATAAGTCGGCGTACAATTTGTCCGGAAAATACAATCGTTTACTTTGTTAATTGTCCCTGCGGCAGCGGTTCGGCGGGTACGTCGCGATGTTCGGTAGAGGAACAAACTGTCTCGAGGTGTAGGCGTACTGGGTTTTTATATTGTTAGGACAGGAAGACAGGAGTAGCGATAGATAAAGATAGAAGTGGAGAAAGTGGTGGAAACGGAAAATTCGTTCGTCCTCGTGCGAACCTGGATGCCACATGTGCGCTTCTTAGGCTACTCGAGGACGAAGGCAAGTCTTAACCCGGGGAGAGACAAAAGAACGGAAACTAAAATCTGAAGGAGTTGGAAAAGGGAAAGTTCGCGTGGAAGAATAGAACGAGGTTCGGTAAGGGTTTGTTGACGACGACGTACCCGCCACAAAGTAATAATTTATATAGAAGTATAAATAGTTTGAATTTTCTATAAATTATATTTTCTTCCATGCTCTGCATTTTTTATCTTTTTTGTAAAACACATATTTTGGAAGTTATTCGGGGGGAACAAGTTATGTGACTCGCCCTGTATACGTATGCACACGTAAACACATGGTGCATCGACGGTTGTGGCAACCACATATGACGGTTGCTAGTGACATGTTGGAGGGTGAGGAGGTGATAGTAGAACGGGTTGCAGGCGGCAGGCGTAAAAGGGTAGTGAAGAAGCGGAGCGCGTTTCAAAATAATAATTTTGAAATTGTTAAGATATTATTGTTAAAGAAGACACAGACAAACGATGCAGAGTTTGTGAATACAAAGAAGCTTAATAGAATATACACATAGACGAAACTAAAATGCTATGGAAATTGCATATTACCAACAAAAAGTTCTTGGGCAAATGACTGAAATGGCTGATTTAGCTGGTCAAAGGTCCGTTTGAAAAATTTTACAAAACCGAAAAAATTTTTATCACACGAGGTAATTAAATATGTGAGGAACAATGTCCAGTTGTTTTTTTTTATCATTCATGCGCCCGGAAGTGTTATGCTTTGTCGAAGTTTAGTAATTTTTATGGTACGCACTAGAACCTTGAAATTCTCTGAAATAGTTTTTATGTTTTAAAGAAGATGTGTCCTTTCTTTTTTTTTATTATCGAAGTTTTTCTAATAAGCATGTACTATATTCTAAGAAGTCTTTACTGTTTTATTTTGCATCCTTTTGTGATTGTTGATATTTAAACGTGTTGAATACATCAATAATATTTTTCACGATTGTAAGACTTCAATAGTGATTTTGTTACACTTCAGAGTGAGTCCTAGTCTTCTTTCAAGTATTATTATATTCTGTAAAGCTTTATGTTTACAAATCAAAAGGAGTTTTTTTGCTAAACAGATTCGGTTGCGTTGACGACCGAGTATCTTCGATTTTTAATTGAGTTTTTTCACTGGTCCACATATTGTTAATGCCCAGTGTGGACATTAGATTCAGGGAGACATAGGCGACGATCGAATAGACAATTATGTGTTTTTACGTGTCTCGAATCAAATATTATTCTGTGTTATGTATTATATTATTATATACCATGTAATATAATTTATTATGTATCAACGTAAAAAAAAATATATATTATTATATTAAATTATCATATTCTATCGAAAAAAGTCGATGTGAAGGTGTTTTTAATTTTGGTCAGCTAAATCAGCCATTCGGACCTTTGTGCGACGCGACGAGTGTCGCCGGCTCAGGAACAAATCTCTCCCCACTTCCATACCTCGGGAACCTATTTATTTGCATACGCATAGCTCAGGGCACAGCTCCCGCACACATCATACGCAGGCATAGACAAATCAGCACACTCCTAAATGTGGAATTTTCTGTAGTACTTTATAAGAAAAATCATAAATTAAATTTAGAGAATTTCGATCGTTCAAGCTTTGTCAAGGTTTTTGCACGTGTGTGCCGACTAATGTTCTAAGGCTTCGAAGGACCAGTTTCTTGATTGAAACACTAAGTTTTTATTTTATGTTCTATTTTCTACAACTAATTCAAAATATAAATTCTATTGCGAAGTGAGAGGTGTTTCACTTGCGAGTGGCCAAGTGTTTCTTGCGAGAGGCCAAGTGTTTCTCCCGCGAGTTGCAGAGTGTTTCTCCCGCAAGTCGCCAAATGTTTCTGCCGGAGTCTCTGCGGTTTCCCTCGAAGAAGACTCCTATTTTCCTAAAAACACCCTGATTGGTGATTTTTCCTTTTCTAAATCACCAATCAGTTTACTCCGGTGCATCGCAACCTCCCTCCATTTCGCCCTTAGCGCGTTATCTTAGGTTGGGGTAGACAACGACCGGAGAAGGTGTTCGGTGGACGGATGCGTGGGAATCCTGCGGAATCTCCGCTTTTCTAGGCTTTGTTAAAGTCAAGTGGCCCATCGACGTTGGCAAAAGTCGTGGGCCACTTTTCTATTTTCCGTTCGGAGACTCCAGGATCTATGGCAGGGTCTGGTCCTAGGGACTAAGTGTCGCAGGCAACGCAATAAACACTTGTGGTGTTTTGAGAAAGCGATATTTGCCTGCGACGGCGACCACTTGACTCGCTGCCATAAATCCGGCTACAGGATACACCTTAACACCCTTAAATATTTTCTTTCTTAGCTTAGTTTTATCTGTATCACCTGTATAAGTAATTAACATATACACACAGCGCAATTGTTCACGCATGCACCGTAAGTGTTCATACGAGAATCTGCATATATCACGAATACCTATGGAAAATCCATGTTCTAAACGTCGCGACGAAAGACTGTTGATCACTTGGACAAAAGACTGTTGACAGTTGGCAGTCGCACAGGGACGGCATCAACTTTTGATGTCGCGATGGTGACTGATCGGTGCACCGTCGACACACTATCGACGCTGACACGCAGGACAAAACATTCTCTATTGACTATGTTTGGACAGTGGCAGCGAATGTGTTAAAGAGCCATTCGACGCGAAAAACGAACATAGCACTAGATTTAATCTCGTTCTTTTAGTTACTTCATAGTTGTAAAATAATAGGTTACTTAGTTTTAGTTTAGTATAGTCAGTCGGTTAATTTTAATTTACTACATATTAGTGTAGTTTTAATATAGGTTTAATTTACTTTTATTCAATTTTTTTTTGCCTTTTCATTTCATACGTGCGCGTATGTATGTGAATACTGTAGTGTAATAATACCCACACAGTATGCGTGAGAATGAAGAAATGTTTGGAAATGAATGGACAGCATATTGAACACTTAATAAAATGATTCTTTACCCAGAATACGTTTATTTTGATATTTTTCAACGTCTCCCCGGTTCCTTTTGAGAAAAGTATTATTCTTGGTCATAATTCTTTAACTATGCAAAATAGGAAAAAATATTTCAAATGAATATCATTAAGTTCATATAGTAGCTATCCGAATAACTAAAAATTAATAAATTCTTTCATTAAAAAAAAATGAGAGAGCTGTCGTTTGTCTCACCAGGAGCCGCTCCTAATTTATCGCACCCCAAATGATTAACCCCCCTGTCTCATTTAATGTAAAAAAATTCAAGTCGCCCTATATATTTTCAGCTTCGAAGTTTTTCAAAATCTAGATTAAATTTTTCATTTCTGAAACTTAATTCTTGCGTATTTTAAGGCTTGCTTGATGAAAATGTTTATTTCTTCTCAACGTTGAATTTTCTTCTTTGTTTCAGGTGGTCTTAGTTTTCATTCTCAGTATAGCATCGCTTATAATATACTTCATTGACGCCTCCAGGTAAGAAAATTAATTGTTTTTAAACTTAAAATATTACATTTACTATTTATCTTTTGTAAGTTATACAGGGCAGAGATGCAAAACTCCTAGTAGGTTTTATAAGCTTATGTCAAAAAGGAGCAAAAACTTTGTCCAAATGGAATATTTCCATTATCTGTAATAATATGGAAAAATATTATTATGTATACAGAACTTGTATGGTATGGAGAGGGACATAATGTGATGTAAATACTTTTACATAGGTGGAACCGTAGAGGAGATTTCAAGGTCACCTCTATTTTTTTAAATCGTATACTATATTTTTTCGCTGCGTTATAGCCGCTGTTGGGGCGATTTCAGCCATTAGCCCTTCGACAGTTTGTGAGATTCAGGCAGAGCATCAAATATCTAACTGTTTAACTCAAGAGAGACTCTTAGGGAGAAAGTTAGAAATAACTATTATAAACATAACTATTAAAAAGATACGTGTAGAATCTAACTTTTTTTTACCGTGATACATAATTTTATCAGACTGTCAAAGGGTTAATACTCAGACGGCGACGGCCGGGTCAGTTCGAACCCCACGAAACCGAGTGTTCCGTCGCGCAGGTACGGAACGCATGGGGTCTTCGTTGACCGGGTTTATGGCACGCTCGCACTAGAAGGTTATTTTTGAGAACAAAGACGCTTCGTAGCTCCGCGAAAAAATAAGTAATTTCTTACAGAACAATGCCTTTAGAATTTCGACTTTTCCGCGTCCTCAATAACCGAAGACGTGTCATAAACCAGGTATTCCTGAAGGGTCAATCCACACGCGCGTATAAAGGCACTCTCGGCCGAGGTTTGACCTGGCGGGAATTTCCGACGCGTCACCGAAGGACAGCGAAGATTCCACGCACCCGCAGGTAGGGCCCCACTCCTTCCAAGGAAAAGCGCGCTAAGGGCGCAATGGAAGGGTG